AGCGCTGGTGGTTCGATTCCTGACCAAACGATTCATCTGGGAATATGACCCAACTCTTGGTGAGAAATGCACAAAAACACCAACACACTTCAGTGGATCTGAGAGTGTTCATTCAATATAAATCAGTCCATACTAGGACTTTTATGCCTGAAAACCTAAATTTGACATTAAAATTCTAAATGCAATAATTAATATTCCCAAAAAAGAAGAGTATTGTGTGCTAGAGGGCGCAAGTGAGCATATAAGCTAATAAAAACCAAATTAAGCATTACATTTTGTAATAAAATGACAATCACTTTTGAAGTGCATCAACTAAAATCACCGGCCACTTTATTAAGTACACCTGTCCAACTTCTTGTTAACGCAAATTTCTTATGAGCCAATCACATGGCAGCAACTCAACGCATTTAGACATGTAGACATGGTCAACAACTGCGTGATGCAATCATGTCAATATGAAGCAAAATCTCTGAGGAATATTTCCAGTACCTTGTTGAATCTCTGCCAAGAAGGATTAAGGCAGTTCTGAAGGCAAAAGAGGTCCAACTCTGTACTAGTAAGGTGTACCTAATAATGTGGCCAGTCAGTTTATAATGTCCTTAATGTGCATTTAAGGAATCAAGTACAACTGAATGCATCAATAATCCAAGAAAACAACAGAAAGTATAACGATAGAAACAAATAGAAACCTTTTTATAATTTTATGCATAAATTCATCAAATATTCTAAATAAACTGTAGGCATGTAATTTAGCATGTTTTCTGTGTATTATCACAGCAAATACTCCTATAAGTTTAAGGAAAGCCATTTTAGGATGCAAATATTAAAAACATAATTAGATGCTCCCGTTCCTGTCAAATCATAATAAAACAAACTTTGATTGGTTGCTTTACCTGTCACTCATCCAGTCAGTGGGCGGAGCCAAATCAGCTGCCAACATGCACTGCAAAAAATAAAGCACTGAGAAATGACTAATTAATCACACTAATGATTTTAGGAAACAGTAATTGATTGAAATGAGAACATGTTGAGTGTTCATATCCACGAGCTCTGATCTTATGCTGAAGAGAGCACGATGGTCATCATGTGAGGGAATGTGGAATAGAAATGGAAAGGTCTTTTTGATAAACATTCATAACAGCGTCCTGCGCATTCTTAGCCATCAAACGTAATTGAATTGAGCACCGCAGACGTCTGCAGGGAATAAAGAACAGCCTGTGGAGCCATTCATACGGTAAACAGCATCCGCACTTTAATAGAAATCAAGCAGCTTCAGCTTACAAACGAATAATCCACAGCAAACACAGAGAGCTTGTTAATGTTTGGCCATTCTGCCTACCGAAAAATAACTCAAACATGAGAAACTGATGCAACACAAGGGGCTGTCCACACCGAATGCACTCTTTTATTCTGAGAAAACACAAGTCTGCTTGCTGACAAGAGAAAAAAGCTCCTACAAGAACTTCTGATTCAGTTTCCTATGGGAGAAATGAGTAGAAATACTAACAAACGGCAGACAACGGTCAAACTACTCGCTGTACAAACAAGTGTGCTCATGACTAGACATAAAAAGAAGACTAATATAATAAGAGAAGATCAGATTGCAGCATCAAGCAGCAGAACAAGCTGTTTTTAAAATCTAAAACCCAATAAAAGTGAATGAAAGAGGAAGTGCAGAGCTTAAAAAACAGACTGCAATGAAGAATGAGCTCAATATTGCACACTGAAAATGATGCTCGTATAGTGTTTCTGAAAGTGAACAGCATGAACATTCCACAAAGCATCTGCGCTTGTGCTTCGCTCCATGAAAACTGAACAAATAGCCATAAATATACCTTACTGTTTTATCAGAGCAACAAAAGAACAGAGACCACAAAGTACATTTGTGCAAAGCCTGATTTTTGGCTGAACTGCTCCTTTAAAGGTCTGAGGGCTTTATTTCTTTGTGAAACGACATTCAAGTATTCGCGAGTGAATAATACACTGGCTCAGAGTCAGCAGACATTTGGACGCGGCGCGCTGGAGGAACATTCATAAACACTTTCATTCACTCCTCACTTTCTGTCCAGGACGTCAATCCAGACACACACACAACCCACAGCAATAGTGTGTGTGTGTGTGATGGGTTTTGCATGCAAACCCAAAATGGAAGTGGTGACATACAGCCAAATACAGAGCCATGTTAAATCCCACAATGCACCTGGGAAAACACATAACATCCTGCCGTTGCAGTGCTAATATTTTTGATTCTCATGCATCTTATTGACTAAAAGCCGTTCTAACTGCTGCATTTTGCATAAACAATTTATAAATGAACAAACACACATCAATTAAACTTGATGTCATTTAAAATAAGCAATACACAGCATGAGTTTACATAACAGATTTAGGTAGAATGTTTTTGTCAACAGTGAACAACAGAGAAAAACTCCAGAGTCAAGTATTTTTTTAGCAATAAGTTATAAAGCTTAAGAAAAGTTGTGAGTTCTGTTATTTGACTTTATCTGATTTTGTTGAACCAACTATTTTAATACAATAGTTTTGAGTAGAACTACATTACCCATAACACCATGCAGTAAATCCCCCCAATTAAAGTCATAGCAAGACAAAAGCTAAATAAAAACTGACTGTCTCTCAAAATACTGTAATAAATGTAATTACATATGCATATTTTTGCATTTATCTTAAAATATATGGTTTCCATGCTACCAAAAAGTGAATAATTATAAATATTTCTCAAATGTTTTTTTAGATTTCTCATCATACATGGTGATTCTCGTTGACATCGGTTACTTTGTAAATGATGAATAGTAAATGAATGGAAAATACTGAATGATCCGGTTGTTGCTAGAAGGGATACAGCAGAAGTTAAAGAGATTTATTTATTATATTGTTCATTATTAGTATTTTATTAACGTCTACCCCTACCCTAACCATAAACCCAAGCCTTACCATAATGTAAAAACAGTAATTACACGAGCATTATTCATATTATTTATTAAATTACCCATTTCATTAACGTCTACTCTACACCAACACTAACACTAAACCCAACCATCACAGTAATGTAAAAACAGTAATCATACAGTGTATTATTTATTAAATTACCAATTAATTGCATTTTATTTATGTCTACCCCAACCCTAAACAAAACCATCACAGTAATGTAAAATCAGTAATTATACAGAAATTTTATTATACTATTGATTAAATTACCCATTAAATAGTATTTTATCAATGCCTACCCCTCACAGTATTGTAAAAAAGTAATTATACTGTGTATTATTCATATTATTTAGTTAATTACCTGTTAAATGTTGTTTATTTATGTCTACCCCTACCCCAAGCCTAAACCCAACCCTCACAGTAATGAAAAACAGTAATTATTAGATTTAGATTAGATTAGATTAGATTCAACTTTATTGTCATTACACATGTACAAGTACAATGCAACTAAATGCAGTTTAGGTCTAACCAGCAGTGCAATAGCAGCAAGTGCAGGATACAGGAATAAGTTATAAAGTGCAGTTATAGAAAAACTATGGTGATATTTACAGATGGATGTACTATGAACATTATATACAGGTTGGATAAGCTATGAGCAGATTTACAATATATGAATATATGTGCAGGTTGCTATTAATAAACAGTAGTGTGCAGATAGATGAACATGATAACAAGTGTATATGTTACAATATATGAATATATGTACAGGTTGCTATAAATAATCAGTAGTATGCAGATAAATAAGCATGATTACAAGTGTATATTTATAGTGGGTGTGTACATAATTACAAATGTCTATATGCAGTGGTTATGTACAGTTCAATAAGTAAACAAAAAGGGAGAGGATATACAGTGTATTATGTATTTATTTACCCATTAAATTATATTGTATAAATATCTACCCCTCACAGTAATGTGAAAACAGTAATCATAACGAGTATTATTCATATTATTGATTATAATACCCATTAAATTGTAATTTATTCATGTCTACCTCTTAAATTACACTATATTGAGGTGAGAATCCGCTGCTGTATCTCTTCTAAACATTACAGAAGGATCCTCCAGAAGAATCGATTCTTTTGATCTAATCGAGTCTCAGTTAAGTTAGGGTAATAAATTAGCTTGGGTTTACATCAACAAAATGAAATACAGTAACACACACTGTGTATATTTCTGTCTGACAGAGTCCACATACCGCCATCAGGCCAACATTGACGACGAGCCCGTCAGTATGGAGATCTTAGACACAGCCGGACAGGTACAGTACAACTAACACATGACATAAACACTTCAGCTTATTTATTTGTGTCATCGAAAGGGTGTTAAAAACAACATGAAAACTACAAACTTCGTACAAATGTTTATAAACTAAACCCGATGACTAGCAGCAGATGTCAGTGAGGACGATATATTCCAGCGCTTATCCACATATTCTGATTAATAAAACATTTATGAATTAACCAAGAGCCTCTACTCACCTTTGAGAAGATAAACAACATTATACCGGCCCCTGTCGATCATCACTATACAGTAATTTGTACACTTGAGAATAGCTTGAGTCGAGTTTTCCTCTGCGGTTGTACACAAACACGCGTGCAGTGACTCTGAATGACGATTGGCTGGAATAACGTCTTCTCACGCTGATGAGGAGGGAGGGGCGTTCCTTAACTTAAATACGCGTTATGATTGGTCAGTTTTGATTGCAGTTTATAATAAAAAACTTTTTAATTAGCATCTATATTAAATCTAAAACTAAAAAAATTCTAAAGCTTTGATGTTTTCTCTCATTTTGGCCTTTCTGTGTTGTATTTTAATGTGACACCATTGTATATAATAATCTGTTTGTCATTAAAAATACCTGGAGCTTTTTCTCCACACACTGCAGTTTCAAAGAGCCTGTATAAATGAATAAATATTTGTAGCAGCAAATTTAGCAATTTTTAACTGATTTGGCTACTTTTATCAATTTGTATATAGTGACTGGAAAGAGCCGTGGCTGCAGGCTTCACCCAGTAGACTAAACTGCTAGCTCAGACTGTTTTTTATAACTGTTAATTCGCTGATATTTGTTAACATGTATGATTGTCTGTAATTTAATAAATTCCAATAATTGTCACATCACAAATGTGTTAATTTCACAAGTTGAAAAGAGTACGTACACAAGCTGAGATTGGTTAAAAGAATATGTACCTGTTCATTACAAAGACTCTAGAATACACAAGACGTGTCACTCGTTTACTTTTGAATGGGGAAAAGCATAACTGTCAATATGGCGAATGAAGCCCCGCCTACTAGTACAGGAGCCAATCAGCGATCGCTATATGGCGAATAAAGCCTGCCTTCTAGTACAGGAGCCAATCAGCAATCGATATAGAATGACAATTCTCTGGGGGAGGGGCTCGGAGCAGACATGAGCTTCTGCAGATTTTATGTGATACGAACATTCAGAAATGAACCTAAACAGACAGTCGTTGCTTAATTTTATTGATGATTCCTAATATGTAATGTAATCGTCAGCTTGGAGAGGCGTTTCAAAGATGGCCACCAACTGAAATGACTTGCCTTAAAGGGACTTTGGTTCATGATCAGTGTTATATTCTTATATAAATAAAGTTTGTATAACTTTTACAAATAGTTAATTCTATTTTTTTATATACAAATCTAAATGCACATATTTCAAATAATGTTTTTGCTGAGATGGCCAGTCAATTTTAGAAAACCTTAATTATTTTGTATACTGCACGAGTTGCGATTACACAATGACGTCATCACACAAAGTAGTATGTAATTAGGAACCTATTTATTGTGCATCTGGATGTAATGTTTTAATATAATATAATACACGGTGCCTCAGAGAGTAGAGATATGACGGCCTACGCTTGCCAGATACTATGTGATGACATCACTGATATGCAAATTAGTGTGTGACATCATCTGGCAACATTTAGCTAGCTTTTCGGGCAGGCTTTAGCTACTTTTCATTGGAAATAGTTGGCAACACTGCTCATTTTACCAATCCTCTTCCTCAACCGCCCGTTGTTCACTTTAACTTTCTTATGCAATTCCCCAACCCTCTTCACTTTTATCCGCGACAATCCCCCGCTCTTCACTTTTGTCCTTCGTCCGTGACACCCCTGCGTCCTCGGGTAATATGCCGGATCCGTTACCCCGATCTGTTCCGGGAAATCACAATTTACAATTGAAGCACTGGTGTTTGATTTTTAGGCTCTGGATTTGTGATTGTTTGCCGCCTGTCCTGACCTTTGCCTATTCTGCTTCTGTTTTGCTCCTGATGTCGACCATTAATTCTTTAATAAAGCTGCGTTTGGAACTGTTATGCATCGTGTGTACGCTAGAACGACAGGTCTTTAATCTGGTTTTGATTTGGGAACTGAGGAGATGTCCATCTGTGTGTCTCCGGCAGGAGGATGTCCTGCAGAGGGAGAGCCACATGCGCTGGGGCGACGGCTTCATCCTGGTGTACGACATCACGGACCGCGGGAGCTTCGAGGACGTGGCTCCGCTGAAGGGGCTGCTGGAGGATCTGAAGAGGCCCAAACACGTGCCGCTGGTGCTGCTGGGGAATAAAGCGGATCTGGAGCACGCGCGGCAGGTGGGCACGGCGGAGGGAGAGAGGCTGGCGGCGGACATGGCCTGCGCATTCTACGAGTGTTCTGCGTGTTCAGACGCCGTGGGTTCAGGCGGAGGCGTCGCCGAGGCCTTCTATGAGCTCTGCAGGGAGATCCGGCGCCGGAGAGCCGTTCAGGGGAAAACCAGACGCCGCAGCTCCACCACACACGTCAAACAGGCCATCAACAAGATGCTGACCAAGATCAGCAGCTAAAACACACTGGAGCATCACCGCGGACAAACAGTACTGCAGTGGGGGAGAGAGCTGTACATGCTGTAGCTTAAAGGGTCAGGAAACACCAGAACACAAGTGTTGAGCTGTTGACAGTCGTATATGCATGTCCTATAAACACTATGAGGACACATATATCGCACTAAACAGTGAACATTGGTTGTTTTTGTGTTATTTCCAGCAAATTCGGACTTCCAGTTTAAAACGAATTACACACACACACACACACACACACACACACACACACACACACACACACACACACACACACACAGACAGAGACAAAGTGATGAATAAAAGAGTCAAAACAAGCAGAAAGACTAAAGCAAACACTGCAGATGCTGGAGCTCATGCTGTCTGCTTTCACTTTCAGAAAAACACACTTCTGAAGAACACAGATTGACTGAGATTAAGATGATTCAGATACAGAATGAGTCAATTTACCAGGTATGAATCATTGAATCACTGAATTAAACACTGAATCATTGAAAGCACTGAATCATTGAATCACTGAATTAAGCACTGAAACATTGAATTGCTAAATTAAGCACTGAATTGCTGAGTTATGCACTGAATCATTGAATCACTAAATTAAGCTCTGAAATACTGAATCGCTGAATCAAGCACTGAATCATTGAATCACTGAATTAAGCACTGAAACATTGAATTGCTGAATTAAGCACTGAATCATTGAATTGCTGAATTAAGCACTGAATCAATGAATTAAGCACTGAATCATTGAATCACTGCATTAAACACTGAATCAATGAATTAAGCACTGAATCATTGAATCGCTGAATTAAGCACTGAATCATTGAATCACTGAATTAAACACTGAATCAATGAATTAAGTTAAAAGTTCACTAATGTGAACTAACTCAGTTCCACTGCTTATGTTTACTGCATTAGTGAAGTTTTATCTTGATTAGTGAGAAGTACTGCAGTGTGTCAGGGCTTATAATGTTACGCAGTAAACTTAATTCACTACTCATGTTTACTGCATTGCATTATAATCCCTGACACACACTACAGTACTCTTCAGTCAGTCACAAACACTAAGAAATGTGGACTGAACCTACATATAAACTCATGTTAATCCAAAACAACCCTATAAATGTAGAACTTCACATTCATAAACACTTAATTACTACATTTAACACGTGGTTATTAGTGTATTACATGTTAAAACAGTCAAATATGCACTTCAGAGTGGGTAATGATGACATTGATAAATAACTAAAATAAAATAATAATAATAATAATAATAATAATAAACCCTCGAAGACTTCAGTTCCATAGTATATTCATGAATGAGTGGTGTTGTGTGCTTTTCTGCATATTCAGTACTCTAAATGTACTTTACGGTTGGTCTTGATTCATTGTTTGGTATTAATAATATCTTAAAGTAACTCTTGGAAACCTGCAGACACCCTGCTTTAGGAAAAAGGGAAACAGGATCATATGTCTTCCCCCTTTGGCAGATGATAGTGCTTGTTTTAATGAAAAACTCTCTTCATATTGACTGATTAGTTCTGAAAACAACACTGTATGTTGTGCTGGTCTAGAAAACGCTTCGTGATTTAAGCGTGTCGATATCTGGACTAGAACCGAGACAGAAACTCAGGGAAAGAGGCATATATGTGCATTGCAGCAGAGTTATTGATGTGGACTGTGCTGCTGACGTGTTCATTCATAAGGATCTGAATGAGCTGTGATGAGGATAAAGCCAGTGTGTGGGAGCAGGTGTCCTCCTTCAGGTCCTCTCTGACGTTCATCTGCAGTTTAAAGAATGAGTAAAAATAGTGCTGGCTCTGCGGCGGCCCACAGAGATCCGTCAGCTCTCTCTCTCTCTCTCTCTCTCTGCTGCACGTTTCTTTCTTTCTCTTCTCCATGGTGAGGTCAGACAGACGATCCGTTTCTCATGCAAATAAAGACTGAAGCGTGAGTGCACTTCCCCTGGACACGCTCACTGCTCATCTGCTTCCACTTACAGGAGAGTGTGTGAGTGAGAAAGAAAGTGTGTGTGTGCTGGAGGTGTTTGTCTATATGTTTGTGTGAGTTTGTGTGTGTTTGTAGCTATGTTAAAATGTGTGTGAATGGATAAATCGTCAGGCTGAGCACATTATAAAACATCTGAAATGTTGTTTTGGTCATTATAAAACGCCTCACCGTTTCAGTATTAGTGTTATTATATTATTAATGACCTCCAGAATGAAGAGCGCCTGTGCTCCGCGTCTGACACCTTCAAACGCCACTGCGCGCTCACTGCAGGTCAGGATTGTCTTCTGAGGCGCTTTCATTTAGAAACGATTGATGCAGCTTCTCCTACTGCAGCAAATGCAGTTTTTACTGTTGATATTTGGCGCCAGTTAATCAGGAAGTGACGATTTTGTTTGCTTTGACTTGTTGGATGGAAACGCTGCTTCATTCGCACAACTTTTACGCGATAATCCAGTTTTGCGCATGAAGTTTATTCGCATTTTGGATGGAAACACAGCTTGTGTGAATGTGTTTGTCTATATGTGTGTTTGTGTTTGTCTATATAGCTGTATG